GTAGAGAATACAAATGGTCCTGGCAGTTGATATGCTAAGTCCTAAGAGGTTCTTAGCAAATGGCTGAGAATAATGATGGACAGATGGAAACTTTTACAACAAATCATTGTGAATGGGGCTTTTCTTCAGATCCATTTGAGATCTTCCTTTAAAGCAGTGGATAGAGGTTTTACTTCTCTGATTCTGTTTGTTTGCACAAAACAAACTGGTGATGCTGTACAATATTCACCTCACTCATCATGATACAGGGCAGGAAAACTGGAACTAACAATACCCCCGTGTGATTTGATTCAGCACAATTTCCTTTGATTTGGACTCCAACATTGGGTTATTTTATAGCATTGGGAAATAACTTGCTTGCCAGGTTTATATGGATATGTTTCATCTTATAGATTTTAAGATTGCGGATGAGTATGTGTGCAAAAATGAAGGTCACTACTGGCTGAATTGATCCTGATCTTGGCTAATTAAACAAAAAGGCTCAGATTGGCCCCAAGGTTAAGGGAGGTGTTTTATGTGGTTGAGCATATGTCTTCAGGAAACAATTATAAATGCTTTCAAAATCTTCCCCCAACCCAAAATATCTTTCTAAAGTTAGGCCACTCTGAAATATTTCATTCTTGAGCAAGATGACTTAGAAAGTTGTGGCCTCAGAATTCCAGGATGGAATTAATTTCAATTGCTATTCATTCAGAATATGGAATGAATTGGCTTGTCACCTTGATGGAAACAGGTTTCTCGGTAGATTTCGGTAACATTGATTCAATGAATATTAATGGCTTGCCTTGAAAAGTAGGGCTTGGGGGCACTATTTTGCTATGGTGCAGGTCCTCCCTGTCAGGTTGTGTCCAGAAGAGGGTGCTAATGAACTATTGTTAGACAACTAGATCAGGTTATATCTTGTCTCCTATATTTTTTAACCTGTATGCAACCATTGGGAATCGTCATGCAGAGCTTCTCTGCTGATTACAACCTTTTCTTTTGCTCCTTGCCTTATCAAGCTAATGAAGCAATAGTACTCTTGATATACTGTTTAAACTTAATTTTGGGCTGAATGACAGATAATATATTGAAATTAAATCCAGACATAACGGAAATTTGTAGGAAAAAAGAAAACTAAATTCTGGATTAAGCTGAAACTTGCTCAGAATGGGGCTGTACTCCACCCAAAGCAACAGATTTGTACTTTAGAAGTGGTCTTGGAGCCCCATTTGTCACGGGGTTGAAAAGGCACATTTTCACAACTATAGCTAATATGCTAGCTGCTTTTTCTCCTGAGTTAGCTGGATTTAGCAAAAAATATCCATACTTACGTTACAACCCACTTTGATTACTGCTGTGTTGTATCAAAATTGCAAATTGTGCAGGATGCAATGGTTAGCTACTGACTGGTGCAAGATACAATGATCAGGACCCAGATTGTTAGGGGCAATATGCTGACTCTGTAAACCGCTTAGAGAAGGCTCTAAAGCACTGTGAAGTGATATATAAATCGAAGTGCTATTGCTATTATATGATCCCAAACTGAAATAAGTGCATTGCTTCCAAGTCAAGATATTGATCCCAGCATTGATCTAAAAAACTGTAAATGCCTATTTTCTCAGGGAGGAGATACTTTGGCTACTTAGATGAACAGGAAATACCCTTCTGAAGATATTCTTGCTACCAGGCTTTTTAACAACTTCAGACAATCCTCAACATATATGACCATAATGGAATCTGCCTATTATGGTTTTATTTCATGATGGTCATAAAAATGGGTCAATTATGTGACCAATCCACTTTGATGACATTTTTTGAGGTCACCATTAAGCAAACGCAGCAGTCATTAAGTGAACCAAAGGTTCACTATGGATGTGACTTTGCCTGAAACGGAAAACCAATGCAAAATGCAGTCACATGACCATGAGACGCTGCAAACGGCAGTAAATGCTGCTTACTGCCAAGTTCCCAAAGTTCTGTCATGTGATTGTGGAGGGGGCCAGACTGTCAGAATGTATTATATTCTCACACTAATCGCAACTTCCCTTTACACTTTTTATAAAACTCTTACCAAACAACAGCTTTAAAACGTTCTCTGCCATTTAAGCCATCCCAGGTATCTATAGTACAATGATATATTTTGATCTTCCCTTTTACCATTTTTGAAGACAGAGACAAGTTTTGTCCTTTTCATTGTTTGCCTCTCCAAGATTTCTCAAAGAGAATATAGAAAGTTGGCCAGATCATTAGCAACTATCTTCAGAAAAAGAGATTTAAATTTCAGCCAAGTATAAAACAGTTCTTTTCGCTCTTTGCCAATCTCAGTTTAACCTGAGTGTTAACCTTTCTTGAATCATTTCCAGACTACATCTATATACTCCTTGGTAAAATGTTCATTTTTCAAAAAAACGACCGTTGACTTACCTGAACGGTCCTTCTATGTGCGCTACGAGGGGAATCCAAGCATGGGTTAACTTTGTCCATTAGCCTAGACAAAGTTACATAATTGTTGACCACGCCTTCTCTGACTGGGGTAGTTCAGTTTTGTACGAAGACTCAGCCGATCCAAGAGATGGAAAAATTGTCATGGAATGCAAATAGTCAATGAGGCAAGTAAACCATACGAGTGAAAGTGAAATGCCCGGACCAGCCAAAGCCAAGGGAGAGTTTGGATTCCCTTCACAGCGCACATAGAAGGACCATTCAGGTAAGTAAACGGTCATTCTCCTGTGCTCTGCTTGGGGAATCCAAGCATGGGACATGCCAAAGCAATGAGAGTCAAGGGCAGGAGCTAGGCTGGTCAGGGGTTCTAGGTGGTGAGAGAGAGAACTCTCTGCAAGACTCACCACTCAAAGGAAGCCTCTGCCGAGGCATACATGTCCACTTTATAATGTCTGATAAAGGGCGATGGTGATGACCAAGTCGCTGCCCTGCAGATGTCCTCTACTGAGGCCAGCGTTGCCCAGGCCGCTGTTGTAGCAGCACTTCTGGTGGAATGGGGAGTGATGCGTCTGGGAACCGGTCGAGATGGACTGTCATAGGCAACCAGCGTCCGATAGTATGTGAGGACACCTTCTGCCCCATGGATGATGGCTGAAAAGACACGAACAGTGCCTCCGATCTTCTGAATGATGCAGTGCATTTCACATAGCAACAGAGCGCCCTGCGAACGTCAAGGTGATGCCACCGTCACTCCTGTGGATGTGAAGCCTGTGGACAGAAGTCTGGAAGAATGAATTCTTGCACCCTGTGGAACCAAGAGTTAATTTTCGGAAGGAATGCCGGGTCCAACCGCAGAACGACTCTGTTCGGATGGAAGATAGAGATCCTTGCAGACCAACAGCACCGCCAGCTCCAACACTCTCCTGGCCGATGTAATTGCTACCAAGAAGACAGTTATAAGGGTCAACAATCTGAGACTGATCGTGTGAATGGGTTCGAATGGTGCAGCCATGAGGGCCTTAAGTACCAAGAACAAGTCCCAGGTAGAGTAGCAATATACTACCGGCGGCCTGAGGTTTGATGCGCCCTTCGGGAATGATCGTACCCCTGGGTGTTGTGCCAGGGAACAGCCCTGCCCGCTGCCAACCACAGTTGTTAGAGCCGCGATTTGGCGTTGGAGAGTGTTGGGCATTAGTCCCTTGTCCATGCCCATTTGCAAGAAGTCCAATACCTGTGGTGGGGATGTCTTGATCGGGTCAGCGCCGGATGTCCGACACCATCTGCAGAAGGCCTGCCAAATGGCCTCGTAGATGCGAATTGTGGACGGGCGTCTCGCTGCCTGGATTGTGTTGATGACTTTGTCAGAAAAGTGTTATTGAGTCAAGATAGCCCGTTCATGTGCCACTCGGCTAACCGTAACAGTTGGGGGTTCAGCTGAATGAGAGCCCCCTGGGGGAGGTGTATCTGATCGTCCAGGATTCTCCAGAGGTGTGAGATGGACAGATGGACAAGGTCAGCATACCAAGGGCGACGCGAACACATTGGTGCGATCAGGAGAACGATGCTGGGGAGGCCAGTGCCGCCACTGGGGGATCTACTGTAGGGAATTGGAGAATTCCGTCCAGTTCCGGTGTAGAAGACTAGAGCTTCCTGTTACCATTACTGGGTGGAGGGACAGCTGTTGGTTGCATCCATTGTTTTTGGACAACGTCCATAAACAGTTTTGGACAGAGTATAGTATCCCGTTCCTGTACCTGTTCTGCAAATAGGCATTCTGTGGAATCTAGGCCCACTGCAGTGCTAGCCTGGGTAGTGGCGCTTCCCATGTTGTTCATAGCCTTGGCCTTAAATAAAAGTGATTTAAATAAGGTAGGCCGAAATAATCCCGAAAAGGCAAGCCTGTCCTGTGCAAGGCCCTCGTCGTCTGAGAGCTCCTGGTCTACCACCTCATCCTCCTCACCCAGCACTGAACATTCGCTAAATACTGAGGGTAGTGGTGATGGGGGTTCAGCTATGGAAGCAGGTATATCCCTAGACAAGGCTGAACCCCGAGGGCACTGGGTTATGCGTTGCAGTTCAGCAACCACACCTTGTAAGATGGCTGCAGATATCATATCAGAAAGTTCAGGAGGAAGGCTGAAAGCCTCAGGTCTGCAGCCGTGGGAGTAAGCGTAGCCGAGGGGCTTGGATGTGTGAGCACTGGTGCTGGGCTAGTCTCAGAAGGACTAGAGGGGGGTTGTGATCCCAATCCTTCCTCTGCAGTAGGCACCCTTTGGGAAATAGGGAGGTCAGGAGACTAGTCCTGGATTCCCGCCAGGGGAAAAGAAGGGCCTGGGGAAGGGCCTTCAGGAAGCAAGGTTGGTGGTGGCCTACTGATGGGCCCAGGTGCCTTGGATGATGACTTGCCTTTGTCCTTGCATTTTGTGGCCCTATTAGGAGCCGCGAAACACGTGCGAGACCTGTGGCTGGTGGCCCTAGTGGTGGCCCTGCCCACCCTAGCGCTGGCCTCAGCGGTATCAGAATGCAGCGGGGAAGAATTAGAATTCCCAGCGCTGGGACCGGAGATAGAATGATTCACCATTATGCAAGTATAAGGGAGAAATGAAAAGCTCAAGCTCACAACTTGATATCAGTACTAAGTGCTGATCGAATAGATGCGAAGGCTGATCCGATCACTGTGAGGCAGAGACAACCACGTGCACTACCGGATTGGTGGCGAACAGACCTCTGATGGCCAGATAACGGTCGCTATGACGTCAACAGTTTAGGCGCGGAGTACAAACCGCGCTCCTTTCGTTCACTTTTGGTGCGAAAAACGGCACCTAAAATGCCCACCGCCGATAGCAATTTCAGTGCGAGATTAAAATATGCAGCAAAATAGCCAGCCCCTTGTTGGAGCGCCTCTGCGACTCCTGACAGTATGGCGGCGAAGACAAGCCACAGTGGAAACGGCGTAATAGCGGCGGAATGACTGTCTTATTTGTCTGCGCAGACAGCACAGACAAATAAGCACACGGCTGCATTCTCTTTTGCCAAAAAAACCTCCCGACCACGAAAGTCACAAGGATATCTTGCTGAAGCCGCGAGAGCCTTGCTAAGCCTCAAAAGGGACTTGCCGAGGCTGTAGATCAATGAGCCGTCATTTAGCGCAGCTGCTGCCCGGCCATACAATGCCCCGTGCTCTCAGCTGCCTCCGCAAATATTCAAGCAAAAGGTGAGGAATCCAAACTAATAATAAGAAGTTATCTTTGTCTATTATCCTAGAGATAAAATCTCTTTAGGCTGGACTGAGTTAAAAAACTGAACTACACCAGTCAGAGGAGGTGTGGTCAACAATTACGTAACTCAGTCTCTAGGCTAATGGATTCCCCAAGCAGCGTACAGGAGGAAAAAATGCTTCCCATTAAAAGAATTTTCTTGAAATAGCTTGCACTTAAAATAATATACTGTAAAACATATCTGTACAACTTTATTATCTTTATTTTCGTATCTTAGCTAATATTTTTGTGGCTATATTGCTGACTGCTATTCCCTCCTCCCTTCAGAATTCAGTATCTTTTACTTTAAGAACTCCCACCCATCTTGAGTGTCTTCCCAATGACTTTTTCCTGGCATAGAATACTTTTTATCATTGTTTTAAGTTTATTAAAACGGGCCTTCTTGAAATTCCATGTATACAGTATATTTGACTACAGCCAGCCTCAGCTCTGATTACAATCAAGAATCCCAATATTACATGGACTCTCTCCCTTACATCCACATTACTTTTACTTTAACCAGTAAGTCTACCCTATTGGTTAAGGTCAATTCCAGGCTAGCTGGTTCACTTTTTCTCCCCTTAAAAATGATGCAATTGCATGGGGGGAAAAACACATACTAATACTTTATTTCCCAACTGATGTCAGGATAATTAAGATCTCCCAACTATTTCATCACTATTTGAAAAATTTGCAATTTGCAAATAATCCACATCTTTGTCTTTGTTGGGTCATACATCAATGTAAAATGAAAGTGAACATTTTCAAATCCCTCTCATAATGACATTTTTTAAAGAGAAAGACATTTCTTAAAGAGAAAACATGTAAAAGCCCAAAGCTTACTGTCATACTTACAGACTAATTGCTATTACTTTAGTACAGTGGTGTCCAACTCAAGACCCGTGGGTTGGATCTGCTTAGACCGCAGGGTGCTTAGATCTGGTTCATGGGGAAACAACAAAGGACCAGCCCGTGGTGCTTCTGCCAGCAAATACAGATCTCGGGAGGGCTTTGCGCAGCCGTCCCAGGCTTCATTTTCAGCCGCTACAGCTTCCTGCAGTCCTCTGCCAGTGAAAACGAAGCTCGGGGGCCCAGCATGTGCTTCCCACAAACTGTTTTCACTGGCAGAGGGCTGTCATGACTGAACAGGGCCCAGGAGCCCATTTTCACTGGCAGAGCTGTCGTGCTACACAGGCGCTGACACGAATGATGTCATGCTGGACATACCCACCCTTACCATACCCACCTCCCCGCCAGGTCAATCATAAGCCTAATGTAGACCTCAATGAAATCAAGTTTGACACCCCTGCTTTAGTATGTTAATTTAATTAGCATATAGAAAAAGACTTGGCTTACACACAAAGATTTAATGCATGTTTCTGAATGCTACATTATTTGAAAATTTTTGACAATAATAATTGCTTTTGAATAGAATGGCTGTGTTTGCAAATTGTGCTAAATGAAAAAGTCCAGCTGGAACTGAATAGGAAAATTAATGAAGGAATAACTCTCATAAAGATGACAATTCTAATTTTTTTAGAATTTTCTTTTTGTGGAAAAAAAGTATATTCAACAAGGATTTTTAGATTTCATGACTATTATAAGCTTCAAAGATGTTTCCTTTAAATGGCTTTAAAACAACTTTACATGGTGTATTCTAATGTTTGATTTTATCTCTTTTGCTTTTTTAAAATAGTAGTTCTTTTAAATTATCAAGTGATTAATACTAAGACCCACAATTAAAGCAAGGAATTGAAATTGTTGCTAGGCAGAATACAGGGAAATGGCTGATCCCTACACAATTGAAAATTAAACAGATATTCCTTAGGAAATTACATTTTTAGGGACTAAAAATGTAATGCTGTCTCTGTTTCTTGAAGGACTAATTGGAAGCCACCTTCCCCAGAAACAACCCTCCCCCAACCCTTTCATACAGGTTCAGAGAAAAGTGAAATCTTGGTTAGAAACCGTTCAGGTGGTTCTCAAGTTAAGAAAGCAATTATGACTGGGATTAAGCAATGTTGTGGTAAAGTATGTCATGTAACTGCATTGTTTAGAGACAATAAGCTAGGCAGTCTTAGGTCCACACAAGGTCAGGAAAGCCTAGGATCAGTCCAAGTGCCTCCAAGTGCAGGGAGGCCGTGGGTTAATGCAAGCAAAGAAAGAATGAGGGGGGGCGTGGTACAGTGTGCAGGGAGGGGGGTGGGATTTACCACAGCCACTTGCAACCTTCCCTGCTGGCTTTCCCAATGATTTTGCTTGTGGAAAGCTGGTAAGGAAGATCACAAATGGCAACAACATGATTGCAGGATACTACAACAACTGTAACTTCAAGGATCAGTTGCAACTTTGAACAGCTGTTGCACATGTGTTTACTAAACAAGAATTACCTGTATTCACTAAGCAAAGAACACTTCAAATTATGTTATTATGTGAAACTAAACCATGATTGGGTTAATGAGATGGAGTCACATGTTACTCTACACACAAATGAAAGAAAGTGACATGCAAACTATGGTTAATAGAAACTTGTTTAGCTGCAGAGCTCATGAGAAGGAATGAAGTTGCAACAGCCTACTATGAATTATTACACCAGGTTTTCTTAATTCAAAGCAGATCCCAATTTTGATAAGTAGCTCAACAGAACCTGCATTAACAGGTTCAACTTCACTTATTTCTATTATTATTCCTCAAAATAAACTTCTACTCCATCACAATCCCCAGAGTATATAATTACAAAGCATGCACCCAGTTGTCTAAATAGAAAATGTTTTCTGTTTTGCTTAACGATAGAATAAATTGATCAGGCAAGTTTTCATTTTAAAATGGGGGTTATTTAGGAAAAAATGCCATCAGATTTTACATGAAAGACTGTGCAATGTAAAATTAAAGCAATTGCAGATTAATTTAATTCAGAACTAACTAAAAAGATTATGTTGCACACAAGTGTTTTCTTTAGATGTCTGTGAATAAAATTTGGATACAATTAGTTTATCCCAAGGCTAGAAAGATTAAACAAAAATAAAAGCAAAATTATAGAGCATATATAAATTGTTTTCAAAACAAACAAGGGCTTCTATCCAGATTGCCTTATTTTTCCCCTAATTGAAAGTTTGCTTTTATAGCACTCTCTTGCTTGCTGATTTGTGGACTTTGTTCTTTACTTAAAGTTGCCAGAATCTAGGCTCCATTCAATTAGGGGGCATTACAATTACTTTGGTTTTAAACACCACATCTTTTTTAATGTTCAAAATGAGAGACAGCAGAGTTTGTACTTTAATTAAAGGAGAATACATTTCAATACAATGTGAATCTAGTATGTCTCTAGAGTGGTTTCCAAAAATGACACAGTGTCTATATGCTGTAGATGCTGCACCTTTAAATAATTAAGTTAATGTAAAGCAGCTGAGGGGAGAATTCATTTGCTTACTTGTATCCAGCTGTTGGCCTTCAATTCCAGAGGGCTCTGTGGTTCACCACTGTACAGACAACATAAGCAGCACATCAGAATCTTCTGGCATTCATCTGTGGATACCAATCCAAATAAGGATATTTTTTTATAAAAAAAATCAAAGCAGGACAAGAAGAATCTTTTGCTCATGTTAATAAACAAAAACAAAAAACCAAGGACATAGTAAATCTTTAGTTATTTTTCTTCTATTCCATTCTTTCTAAGTCATTCCATTCATCACATATAGACTGTTTCATTCTTCCTTCTCTTAATATAAAACATATTTTAATGTATTTGGAGATGGGCTTAATTGATTGTCTTGCTGATTCAATATGAACCTAGTTAATTGTGACAAACTTAAATCTTATCAGTTTCAATCTAAATAACTTGTTCTGAATCAAGCCAACTTGTTTTTTTGCAACTTATTTTATTGATAAAACTATAAACATGTATTTATATACATAGAACAATAGTTTTATGACATTCAATTCAATTTTTTGCATTGTTTTATTTTTCTAACATAAAAACTAACCCTGAATATCTTTTCCTCATAATTGCTTCCTCTCACCACTACTGACTGTTTTATCACTCCCCCAATAGAGTGAAATTAAGAGCAGCCATTTACTCATCCATTTTCCCTGCTACTGATAGCAATGAAAGAAAAGCCAATATGACAAAAGTACTCAAAGGTTGGTGTACTGAAACCTTTAATTACAACTGTTCTGTTAATAAGGAATTCCTATCAAGTAGTCCAAATTTAAGCATTCAAAACTTGCCACACTATAAATGAACTATAAAACTGAATGTTAAAAATCTATTAAGTTTTAATAACCATTTAAACCAGGGGTGGGTTTCTCGCCCCGTTCCAACTGGTTCGGTTGGAACAGGGCCGGTGGCGTCCTCGTGCACGCGCGCAGCGCACGCATGCGTACTAGCATCTGTGCAATGCTCCAGCTGCTCCTGGAGGATCGCACAGGCGCTGTATGCGTCCTGCGCATGCGTGGAAGCGCAGAACTCGTCAAAACCGGGTAAGGAGCGCGGGCAGGCGGGTGGGCCCTTCGCCGTTCCTGGAAGTTACTTACTTCCGGGTTCGCCGACCAACCGGTTTGCAGGGACCGCGGCGAACCGGTTGAAACCCACCCCTGATATATACATATATACATATATACATATATACATA